GGTTAGGGTTAGGGTTAGGGTTTGGCCCAGGGTTAGGTCTAGGGTTAGGCCTAGGGTTAGGGTTAGGTCTAGGGTTAGGGTTAGGGTTAGGCCTAGGGTTAGGGTTAGGGTTGGGGTTAGGGTTAGGGTTAGGGTTTGGTTTAGGTCTAGGGTTAGGTTAGGGTTAGGGTTTAGCTTAGGTCTAGGGTTAGGGTTAGGGGTTAGGGTTAGGCCTAGGGTTAGGTCTAGGGTTTGGTTTAGGACTAGGGTTAGGGTTAAGATTAGGGTTTGGTTTAGGTCTAGGTTGAGTGTAAGTGCTAGGGGTTAGGGTTTAGGGTTTAGGGTTAGGGCTGGGGTTAGGGGTCAGGGTTGGGTTTAGGGTTAGGGTTAGGTTTAGGTCTAGGGTTAGGGTTAGGGTTAGGCCTAGGGTTAGGGTTAGGTCTAGGGTTAGGGGTTAGGGTTGGGGTTAGGGTTAGGGTTAGGGTTTGGTTTAGGTCTAGGGTTAGGGTTAGGCCTAGGGTTAGGGTTAGGTCTAGGGTTAGGGGTTAGGGTTGGGGTTAGGGTTAGGGTTAGGGTTTGGTTTAGGTCTAGGGTTAGGGTTAGGGGTTAGGGTTAGGGTTTAGTTTAGGTCTAGGGTTAGGGTTAGGGTTAGGGGTTAGGGTTTAGGTTTAGGGTTAGGGTTTGGCCCAGGGTTAGGTCTAGGGTTAGGGTTTGGTTTAGGGCTAGGGTTAGGGTTAGGGTTAGGGTTAGGATTAGGGTTTGGTTTAGGTATAGGGTGAGTGTAAGTGCTAGGGGTTAGGGTTTAGGGTTTGGGGTTAGGGTTAGGGCTGGGGTTTGGTTTAGGTCTAGGGTTAGGCTTTGGGTTACACACTGGGTTAGGATTATAATTAAACCCAAGGTTAGTGTAATGACCAGACCTAGGGGTTTTTTAAGAACTAGGGTGAGTCTCAGTTAGTTTTAGAACTTCAGACTTTGGGTCTGAAATTTTAAATGTCAGTGGTTAAACATATTTTCAATAACAACCTTAGATAGTAGTTTCAAACACTACGGTTAGGGTTAGGGTTAGGGTTAATATTAGAGCTGGGTTAGGGTTACACCTAGGGTTCGAGTTAGGGCTAGGGTTAGGGTTAAACCCAGGGTTAGGATTAGGGCTATAACTTTTGTTAGGGTTAGGGTAAGGGTTAGACCTACTGTTGGGGTAAGAACTAGAGCTAGGGTTAGACACAGGGTAAAGGCCAGACCTAGGGTTTAGATTAGGTTGAAACGTAGGGTTGGGGTTGGATCAATTTTAGATTTTGGGGCACACATTTCAAATGTTAGTTGTAAGAAAGATTCCAAATTACGAGCTTTGAGATATTATCTTCAAATAATACGTTAATAAAAGATTCCAATCTTTAATTTTGAATTTAAATTTTTTAGAGAAATGACCCTGGTTTCTGTCTAAGGGTTAAAGTTACGGTAACCACTTTTAAAAATGTGAGAGGCATAGCACGGCGTTGGTGGTTATCTCCGCCCTGGTTTCTGAGCTACTTCCCACCATGAATTAGCACAGCAGAAAGCGTCTTTGTACACTTTCAGGAGGACATTGTACAGGTGGGGATAGCAGCATACTTAACAGGTGTTATGCCGTAGAATGCACCCCCTGCCGTAGATGCACCCCCTGCATCCCCTCCACTTGTTAGCTTCTTAAAGATGGCTCCGCGCCCCCCTGGGGGGGCGGGCCACACACTTTGAGAAATGCTGCCTTAAGCCTAACCTCAGGTTAAACATAAATATATTATTTTGGATTAATAAGAATCAGCAGTTAAAGGGTTAACATTTTCAAATTAAATAGAGTAGAAAATAACATAAAATATCCGAGAAATTCAGGTAATTATTTGTTAAAAGGTATAAAAGGTGAGAAGGGAACAGGGACATTTCTTTTTTTAGCTGCTGTCAACACCTATGAATTGGTGCCCAGCAGCCCTTTCTTATGTGTGCACAGACCTGAAGAAGACCCAAGTCGGGTCGAAACGTTGTCGATGATGCACACATTGTTTGTACATAGTTCATGTGTAGTTCATGTATTGTGTGTTTGTGTGTAAAAAACAGTGTGTAAAAAAATGTAAGATATTTAAAAACAATAACTCAACCCATTAAAGCCAACTTAAAAACAATATTTATTAAACACAAGTAGTGTTCTTAGTGGGACCGGGGGAGTGTGTCCCGTGCACGCCCCACTCCTTGAAGACCCAAGCAGGGTCATAACTTAGAGGGAGACGGGAGTCATTCCCCAATCCTAACCCTAACACAGGAGCACTCTGACAAGCTAACCCTCAGACGACAGGAAATGGCCTGAAACGTGCTCACAACCCATTTTCAACATTTCCAGACAAAGTACAACACTTGCAAACACTGACTTTGGCCATTTTCCGCTCCCATTCATTTTCAATGGGAAATTTCCATTTCGCCATAACTTTTGATAGGAATGTCCGATCGCTGGTTCATTAGTATTTCTAGATTCAGCATACCCAAAAATGGGGGGGTAGACCAAATCTCAGCCCGGTTCATCATTGGAAAAGGCAATGAACCGGCATGTCAATAGTGGCACATACCCCTATATCATATCATATCCTATCCTATCATATCCTATCATATCTTATCATATCCTATCATATCATATCATATCTGTTAGAAAAATGTGCATAAATGTATATAGACTTAAAAAAAATACAGTAGCTTACATCAAAACATTTGATCAACCAACAATTTTGACCACATATTTTATTCAGAAAACAGTCATGCTGAAATACTATAGAGTGAGCTTGTTTTTTGCAACCAAAGCTAAGCATGCTACATCATGTGTGTGTCTGTGTGTGTATCTTTGGGTGGTGGTGTTGTTGTTATCCTGCCCTGCCTGGTCTCACGTGGATAATCTAATTGACATACGACTCTCATTCATTCCTGGATAGGCGCAGGGAGAGGAGGACAGGGAAGACAAGTTCAGGCATTGCCTGGATTTTTTGGTCTAGTGGCATCCAAACTGCATTAGGACTCTTGAGGAAATTGATGGACTTATTGGGAATATTTAATTTATTTTTTATTCTTATTTTACCAGAGCAATTTCACTTTGATTAGTTAAGAACTTTTGAGCTAGGCTGATGGGTGCTAAGTTTACCATCTGCTGCTGTCAGTACTATCTGAATCATAGCAGGGAAGGGAAGAATGATATTTCACGGTGAGACGTTACAGTTGAAAAGCTTTTTTTTTAATCATTCCAAGCCTGGTGAGTTTATCTATTTCTGATTACTATCTGTCCTTCGAAAGTTTTCACAACAGCACAGCTACCAGACAACCAATGGTGTTAATCAGTGACTCAAGTGACTCTGAAGAGGAAAGCCTTTTTGGGCCACATAGTTCCAAAAGAAACTCCTGGAACGAACGGCCAAACCAGAGGAGCACTGGGGAACCCCAGGACTCCACAAGCAAACCCCCTGACTCTTCCAAGAGGCGAGGATCAGACAAAGAGCTTCAAGCTTTTATTAGCATGAGAGACCAGACTGACCAAGCCACAGAGGTGAGTGAAAGGGTAACAGTGCTGCACAAGACAAACATTTGTGTGGGAATAACATGCATAAACAGGAATAAAGATGCAGCTATATGTTGACATACTGGAAATTTGTTGAAACTGGGATGAATCCCATGCCAAAACAATTGAATTAAGGCTGGACATAGACGACACTATTTAAAGTCTACTGCCTTCATTTAATTATGTAGGTTAACCTCGTGGTTGAATAATTAAGAATTCATGTGACATTCTTCTTCTGAATTTCTTTAAAATCTGATTGAGACTACGAAATGCCTTTTTTCTGAGGGAAAAAAAAGTTTATGCCATAAACTTCCCTTCACACTTTAACATTGTGTAAAATAACTTTTCACTCAACATCATTAAAATAAATAAATATCCTGAAGATTCTGCAGAGGTTGCAGTTTTCCATTTCAGTTTTTCGTGCTGGAAAAGTTCATCAGTTTTCAATACTACGTCTACTCACTAACAAGCAGAGTTGTCCAAATTCAAAAACCACAAGTCCTCCAAGAAGAATTACAGTATTTAAATTTTTGGTCTATCCGATTGTTTTTTTTTTTTTTTTTGGTAGCTCTGTAATGTCATTATTTAATAAAAGGAATGGAAGACATTTATTTGGGGGCTGTCGAAGAAAGCCTAATTTCTTCATTAATAAAAATTCCAAAACTTTTATTTAAGTCTTGCATTTTGATTCCACGGGCTGAAAGTTATACATAATTTGGCACAGTTAGCGATGTTAGTGGTTTGGGTAAGTTGTCAATAAATGCATTTCAGATGCAGAGAAGGCATGGGGTGACAACATCTGATGAAAAAATAACTCTTAAAATACAATTTACATGATTTTCATGTAAATCATGGCCAAGGCATCTTTTAAATTTCAGTATAGCCCTGTTCCTTCAAAGGAAACATGTCACACAAGAAATATAACCCTAACTCTAACCCTAACCACTTTCATCTTTCATGATTTTATTGCCTCAGATAACAATAATAATGATAATAATAATAATAATAATAATAATAATAATAATAATAATAATAATAATAATGGCCAAGGCCTAGCCTCCCAGTGAGGCGACCCTCTTGGTCATTGTTTTCTTAGCCTAGCCCTTTCTGTCTGTTGTACTTTTGTAAGTTATTACTCATTCATAAGGAAGTAGAAAAGTTAAGGCCAAAATGAAAAAGGACCTGCATTGTTTAAGTCATTTTGCTGTGTTGCCATGGCCACGCCCTTTCCCCTACACACAAGCTTTTGCTTAGGTGTCATCCCCAAGGGGTTGGCTACAAAACTGGTCGAGTAAGAAAGTTCTCCTCCTTTCCATTTTGAACCAGGGGGCGATGTTGTGCGCTGATGGCACTATGTAATGGGGTAATGTGGGAAATGCACCAAAGCAACTGAGAAAAACTGTAATACTTATATATATATATATATACTTGTAAGAGTATAAGAGGTTGCATCTCAATGTTCAATAGCACACCAGTATACAGGATATCCAACTATGCCTATTTAAACTCAGTTTTTAAAGAAGCTCATCATTGATAATCATTGATATGTCAGGGTCCATACATCTTTTGTACCAACAGCCATCAGACTTTACAATTCTTCTATGAATGGTAGATGACTTTTGAGAAATAACAAATGAGAGCACAGACAATTGAATTTCCCTTCACTGATAAATAAAGTTATTCTAATTCTTAAAGGCAGACCATAACCTACTTGGGACCCATTGGGGTTGTATTATTTTGGCATTTCTATTTTAATGTATATTTTTTGCAAACCTCACGGTGCCAAAACAAATCAACCAATAAGCTCATACTGAACCCATGTCTAACTGAGCCTAACTCAACAACATGGATGTATTCGCTTAAAATAACCCTTACATCAGCATAACCCTACATATATTATTAAGATTTTTTTGTTAATATATTTTCTTACAGGAATGGGAGAAGTTGAATTATGACATTTACACTTTACGGTATGCCAGACGTGAAGTGAGATCTCGGTGGAAGAAAATCCTGCTGCAGCTGGGTAAAACATTATCTCCTCCAAATGCATCATACTAGATCTATAATAATCTGTGGTCCGTTATTTTATGTTCTGTCATATTCCTGCAGGTTATCAGTGTGAGGTAGATGCTTTGCTGTGTGTGAACAGACAGAGCCAGTTCATTTCAGATCAGGATCATCTTAACAGAGCAAGGGAGCTGTTGGGACAGCTACTGGACCAGACCTCGTTGTTTCCTCCAGAAACTGGGAACCAGAACAGATACCTCTATGTCATGGTACGCATTTACACACACACACACACACACACACACACACACACACACACACACACACACATTACAATGATGATGTGAAGTTGATGTTAGGCCCAAAGACAAGTGCTCAGGTAAATTTCAACATTTCTTGTAATATTAATTCCCCATGTAAACATAAGGGCCCTTATTAATCAATCAAAGGTACAACAGAAAACTGTCCGTACGACCATTTCCATGCAAGGGTCAACATTTATCAATTTGGATGTGAGTGTATGATACGATCAACTCTCAGGACAGGTCTCACATTGTGTATCCAAGTTTGTGTAAGTGTGAATTTGCGATGCTGCAAATGTCTGTCTCAAAATAATTAACATACCTCAAACCTGTCATTAAGCTCAAGCAGCCATATTTCATTAATGATTAAATTAGAATAAACAAAATAAATTTGTTATGCCTTTAGGCCTATGTGATAACCCCGCCGGCAAACACTGCCACAGAGCAGGAGTGATATACAACTTTGTCTCTCTTCATTGTTTGTACTCTTCTTCACAGTTTGCATTTATCAGCCATCCAATTGCATCTGCTTCATTTTCATTATGATACCCAATTACCTCCTTTTCTATTTTTTCTTTTTTACACAGGAACGCCTGGTGTCATTGGACAGTGCTGAAGACTTTGTTAGACTGGCAAAAGTAAAATATCCCTAAAAATGAGGCCAAAGGAGAGTGTAAAGGATCAAGTTTTAACGTTGAAAAATGTGTAACACATTAAGAAACACATTTGTGCTCCAATGTTTATTTAAGTGTAGGGGCAGTAAATTTAATTACTTTAATTCTGGCAGTAAATTTATCATTTAAAGTGTTCATTGAATAATTCTTTAAAACACTGTCGTTTTTATTTATCAGTTTTTTCACTGAGTATTGGAGGTGTCCCTCTTTCAGCACTTTGGTTGCCCTGATAAATATTTAAAGAGGGTTAATGTGCTGTTTGAGTATTCAGTGTTCAGATACAAGGTGAAAGCATTTGTATTTGTTGTTCCTTGAGAACATATTAATAAAGGTATTGCTTGTATGTTTAGGCTTCAAAAGAAACGAGAAACCCCCTGAATGTGCAAAGAAACATGTCAAATATGAATAACAAGAGAGTCAAAATCGTAGTTTTTCCTCTTTCTTCTTTCAAACACCTTAGTCACCTTTTTTGAAAAACATAAAACTAAATAAATCTGTATGTTTTCTTGGGATTTTGTGTTATTTCTTTCGTAATTATTGTCTATGATTAAGCACTATACAATACACTGATGCACTGACAGCTGGGTAGTTGATGTTTTGGCCAAAAGGGGGCGGTAGACACTGAACCACCTTTTTGTGGCTTTAACTGAAACAAAGATATTGTCACTTTGAGCTTTGCACACAATGTCACCTGTTTAAAAATGTGCAACGATCTCAAAGTTGGTCTACTGAGCATGTAACTAACAACACAATAATAACATAAAATGAGGAAGAATATAATGATAGGAATGTGGTTACACTACAAAGAACCTGAATGTGAAAGTCAGAGTAAACAACACCCCCAAAACAAAAAGTATCAGCAAAAGGAGAATATCAGTTTAGAGGGTAATCGGTGGGAAATAAAGGTTCATCCTCCCTGCCTTTGAGATGTAGATGATAATGACTCATGTAACTGTTTCACACTTTCAAACAAGCCAAACTATTGGGACCGCTGCTCTGACTCTAAATTCAGAAGGTTTGAGCTGTCTACATAAAACTGATGGATGTGGTTCGTCTTATACAGATGCATAACTGTGAGCACACATGAACACAGAAGGAGAGTTCCCTCTGACCCAGATTTTGCTCTCCAAGGCTCCTTACCTAATCTGAGAAACAGATGTGGAGGGGGGGGGAGTTTGAAGAGCATGTGGATTTTCTGGCAGCTCCTGCAGGCATTGTGCTGCCTGCACCTTTTTCTCATTATACAACTGTGTGTATGTACATGCATTTCTCATCAAGTAATGCTGATATCATTCAGATTTCAAATGAAATAAGTAAATCTGACAGAAATTTGAAGGACTAAGATTGTGTTTCTGTATGATGTTCAAGTAGGAAAACTATCAGATGAATCCACTGTCGTAAAAGTTCAATTCTACCGTTAGACTCGTCTTCAGATACCAGAATTTTTCACCACTGTGTGCAAGAATACCACCAAAGGCAGTGGTCATGATGGGCAGGGCATTATGGTCTCACACAGACTTTTAGGCCTCCTTGTGATGGTCAGATATTTTATGAGAATCTCTATGGCAGGGTGTTTTCCACTGACACACAGCATTAGTGGTGAGAGTTATTTTTTTCATCACAGTTTTAGGAATCCAGACTAAGGAAAATGTCTGTCCATAAATATGAGTGAGGATATTATGTCACTGTTACTTTTATACCATCTTAGGACATCAGAATTATTTAAAGTCACTGTGTACAAATGCAGAGTCTATATGTCAGGTGTGGAAGTAGGATCCAAGTGCAGCACAACGCCAGGTAGGTGTTAGAAGCTACTTTTATTATAACAGTTCACAGAAGACAGGTATTTCAGCAGGTCAGAATACATTAGGATCGATTTAGCAGTCTCTGTAGGAACTCCAAGATCAACAGGAAACAGAACCAACAGGCAGAGCAGTCTCTATAGAGATGCAACAGCACTGTCGAGGGGCAGGCTGGGTTCATGGTCGATGTAGAAGCAATGTTAAATCCTGGCAGACAATTAGCAGGGCAGACAAAACCCAGAGGGAGTGGATGGACAGAAAGTCGTGGACAGGCAGTAGGTCGGGGAGCCGGTAACACAGCGAAACCTGAAGTACTCAGAGGAGCGGAGAAACTTGACAGGGGATCCGAGGGCTGAGACGAGAAGATGTGGTCAGAGGCAAGCAGGAGTCGAAACTGAGAAACAAAGCTGAAGAGCCGTGCATGCTGAGACAACAATCTGGCACTGAATGAGGGCCACAGAGCGGCTTAAATACTGACTGATCAATCAGCAGTGAGGAGCAGCAGCTTGACATTCACAGGTGTGAGGAATCAGCGCTGATGAAGAGGCGTGGCAGAGAGGACAGTGGGGACACTCAAAACAGCATGAGAAACACAGAAGAGTGTGAGACTTCAAAGTTTAGGTTTCCTGTTTAAACTCAAACCAGTCGAGGTATAAAAGGTGGCATTAAAACACCGTCTGTAGTCGATGTGTCTCCACTACAGAAAAGCAGGATTTGGGGGGAATATGGGTCTGAGAATGTATTTCAATACACAAGAGTTTTTTTCTTCTTGGAGGGTGAGAAAGGTTTGTTGTTTTAAATACTGTTGGCAACCAGGTTAAATGACAGGAACTTATATAATAATTACAGTGAAGATTTAATATTTTAGAAATAGACATTTTTAGATTTAGTACTTTTACAAAAGATCAATATAAATAATAATATAAAGGCAGCAAAGTTGATCTTTAAAACTTTATGAAATTCACCCGCTCTTTTGACAAAGATGATCAAATACATTTTAATATTAATAACTATTAGAGCTTCAGCCAAGAAAACAGTTCAAGTTAGTGAAGGGCCTAGTACTCTGTACTCATCCACTCACTAAATTAATAGAAACACAATTGTTGTGTGTTTACTCACTTAACACAGGTGTGACTGCAAAAGAGGAGAGAGGAAAAGAAGAAGATTCTGCAGGTCAGGTTGATCCCACTGTGAGGATCTGTTAAATTACCTCCATTTTTACTCCTGTCCCAGTGTCTCAGACAAGTTTCCTCAAAACTCAAAGTTAGAGTTTAATAAAATTACTGTTGAATTTCAAAAATATGGACAGATAAAATAGGAGAGAGACTGTCATGCAGACGGGCTGTGTAGATACAAACTGAGAGTCAGATTAGAGGATCATGCAGCCAGTTAGACTCATGAGCCTTTCCCCCTCATCTGACCTCTGTGATGGAATAGCAGCTGTTTTTCAATGAGCTCATATTGGTAGAAGCCCAGGATTTGTCATGTCTGCTTGTGTGTGTGTGTGTGTGTGTGTGTGTGTGTGTGTGTGTGTGTGTGTGTGTGTGTGTGTGTGTGCGTGTGCGTGTGTGTGCGTTCATCCGTTGAGTGAGCCTGCCTGCAGACCCACCAGAGTGGATTTCTAGGCAGTGACTCATTAAAAGTGGAGGTTGCAAAGTCAGGCAGATACATATCCCAGTGTCCCTGTGCAAACATTCACCCTTCAGCTATAGGCACACAAAAAAGTTTAGAAACCACATTACTAACAGATGTTTGAGCGTCGGTGTGTAGACTTGGAGCTTTCTGTTACCTTAATTACTCTGTATGTATAGAATAGAATAGAATAGAATTTATTGTCACAAGTACAGAGCAACCAAATGCAGTTTGCATCCATCCAGAAGTGCTTAGCAAGTAAAAATATATTGACAAATGAACATGGTATGAAAGAATATATATATATGTGTTACTCTTGTGGCACGCTGAAGATGAAACCGAGATCTGTGACCAAGTGTGGCAGTTTTCTGAGACGTTTCATGTGTTTGTGTAACTGTGTACATGTCTCTTTGCATCAATTTCAGCTGGCTAAGAATCTTATCTGATTCAACTGCTCCTCCTTTCCCTCTGGGAGACACACAGACACACACATAGACACACACACACACACACACACACACACACACACACACACACACACACACACACACACACGGAACCATCAAATAGGCATTTCCCAGTGAGGTATGAGCCAATGACAGAGCAGCAGTGGTTAGTGAAAGAGAAACAGAGCAGTCAGCTGCTTCAGATTCAGAGGAACGACTTTAATACCAAGACTATTTTTAAATGTTGGGAACTTGGGTGTGTGTTGGTGGTGAGGAGCAAGTAATCAAAATCCTCCTTTAACCTCCTCATTTTCAACAAACCATCTGAATTTTCCTCCTTCTTCTCCATTTGTACACTCTTCTCCTCAGTTATCTCACTGCTCATGTTCACTCTGTGTGAATTCAACGTTGATACAAGACTTACAAAAGTGAAACTCCCACTTTAATGACCAACTGTGGGATTTCAGAGCTCAACACAGCGCAGTTAGGGACTCTTGAGTCTGTTATTTCTGGCAATGAATCATGAAGCTTCAGGCATTATAAATGAACCACGACCGGCTGTAAGTCGCTCAGAGAGGCTCTGATGTTCTCGGTGATATTATCTTGGACTGAATCTAAGACAAAATAAAGACGTGGATCACATGACTGAGATCCACAACTATTAAGACAACATGGCAAATCCAACAAGTTGGAAACTTTTTATCTCGTTATTTTACAAAAAGAAGTAAAATATCTCCATAAAATCTCAACATCACTGTCTGCCTGTCTGTGTCAGGAAGTCTCCATGCAGGCTTCACTTTGCTGAGTCGTTATCTTTGATTTAAAGTCTGATATGAGAGAAGCAGGAGTAATGTGGGCGGAGGAATACGACATGGAGGAGGAGGTTAGAACAGAGGAAGTGACTGAGGATCAGAAAGACGTCTAAAAAAGTAAGACTGGCAGGGAGGGGGCGGAGGTGAAGAAAGCGATGGGGGGGGGGGGCACTGATTCACAGATTGTGGGTCGAGTCTGGAAGATTTCCTGTCCTGTGACAACAGGGAAAAAACCAAGCTCTGTCTCAATGTTTTTTCTCTTCTGTTGGTTTCCTCTTAGTCAGAAAAGTTTTAAAGTCAAACGACATCATTTTTGTTTCTTTGATTTCATCTGGTAATCATTTCCTTTCTGTATCTACCTCATGTGAAACTGGGTCTTGTGGGGGCTACATGATTTTAGGTCAGAGCCTTTATGCTTATCAGGGGCAGCTACACTTAAATCGTCTTTCTGTGCATGACTGTGCATATTTTTACTTCTGGGGAAAAAAACTGATTTTTCCTCTCATTTACTAAAAAAACCCTTTTTTGGATTTGTGAAGCCTGAAGTATCATAAATGACTGGCTCTAAGATACTTGAAGAGGCTCTCATGTTTTTACTGATATTATGTTGAATTTAAGATTAAATATAAGATTAAACAAGATCTGAGACAAAATAAGGGAGTGAATCACAGGACTGAGATCCACAACACTTAAGACAACATGGCAAATCCAACAAGTTGGCAGCACAGAACACTTAAAGTATAAATCCTGAAACCAACAGTTTAGCCCAGCTCTATTTTATACCAGTGTTTATTTTGTCAATGAAAGTTCTGATAGGAAGTATTTGTTCTTTGATATGACAAGAACAACAACAGATTCAGTTCACAGCCATGTTGAAATAACCCCACAGTCATGTCAGACAGAAAACCACTTCATGTTAGATTTCTCTTTAAACTATTATTTATCTTCAAGTTCACTGTTACTGCTGAGGCCTAAGCTAGACTGGACCCAAAAAAAGATCTTTGTCTCACAGGAGACACAGAAATCCACAAACGAACTGAAATCTCTGCAGCTGCTAGAGGCTGGCTGACCACCAAACTGAAGACCAGAGCAGCGAGACACCAATCTAAATACGGGTACAAAAGAGATGGTGGTCAGAACAGGGTGAACGTTCACAGAATCTGGAAAAAGACTGTCACCTCGAACCTGGAACCTGGAACCTGGAGCCTGGAACTACCGAGTGAGACGGATGTATCTGGCAGAGTAGTGGAGGCTGAGCCGTTTTTTATGGAGAGGTGAGCTGACTGCAGAGTGCCGTCAGGTGTGTCCTCCTGTCAGTGTTAGTTGTCCTTTTTCGATGAACAGAAAGACCTCTTAGATCCATTTCTCGATGCTTACCGGCGAGTCCGCCTTGAAGTTTAAATCGGTAAGCAGCCCGCCTCCCTTTACCTGTAATTGGCTAACACGTTGCCTTTGATTGATTGGATTGGTTGGATTGATTGACATGTCAGGATAGATGGGATTAATCTAACTCTAACCCCATCAAGTGTGTCCTGAACAAACCTCAGCTGTATCACTTGAAAAACCAAAGGGGTTACAGGTCATTAACCAAAAACAGCATTCCCCTTTGCCACCAGGTGGCGCTACAACATAGTAACGTAAGTTTGGTGTAAAATCTTCTGGTGCTAGACCAATATCAAGTGACTAAAGTCTTGTGGAGGTGGTACCAGTGTACAGGTAGTTATACAGGAAACTCTGTGAGCATGAAAACTGAAGGTTGTGCTCGAAAGTTTTATTTTTTTTAATTTTTTTTTAATTTATATATTTGGGCACGGCAAAATATCTGCACTGGTGCCAGGCCAGACCAACCTGCCAAATTTTAGGGGTTTTCAAGCTTGTCTAGAGAGTGAAAAAGTTGAAAAGAAAACAAAATTTATCAATATAATAAAAAACAATAATAAATAAATCCTGTAATTTTAATAGGGCTCTCGCCTGCTGCTTGCAGCGTCGGCTCAGGTCCTAATTATTCCATGCATGTAAGATAAAACCCAAATCAGAAACCCACGGTCCTGGTAGCTCACGAAATGCCCAACTAATACAGCTGTTTGTTTTGGTTTGTTGACATGAGAGTGGATATCATTCTCAGATAAGGTTTTAATTAGCAAACTGTCTGTGGAAACAGTTTCACTTTGTTTATTTAGAAGATGAGGCCACAGGAAGGAACAGGAGAGAGCGAGAGAGAGAGAGAAAGAGCAGAGAAAGAAGGAGAGGGAGAAACCAGGAAAATGAGAGGAGATAAGAAGATGAAAAAGGACCAAAAAAGATAAAAAGTGCCGAAGACTGCGACTCTTTGATGTGGGAAATCTCTCAGGAAGGACATTTTTCTGCCAACCAACCCCAGCAGTGGGGTAATCAGACTGTTCAGCTGTGGAAGTGATGGTTTTTAAAGATGACGCTCCAACAGGTCTTCATATTTTCTATTAATCCATTAGGACCAGATCCAATATTGCTGCTATTGTTTGTTAGTTTATTTGGATCCCCATAAACTGAAGCATCAGCTGTCTCACTGTGACAATACAGTTTATACGATCAGAAATCACAGCACACAAACATAAGACTGTACATCACATTACACCAACAGAACAGAGATTTCAACAATTACCACTCAAACAAAATCAAAGACAACAGACACTATTATTACTTTGAGTGACTCCAAAGAAAAGACATTAGTTAGACCACCTAATAAACAAAGTATTCATTATTAGTGTTGATTACCAACGTTTCTTCGGATTTTTTTTGAGAGACTTTTAAAAAAACCTATAAATATTATTATGATGTTTGAAATAATTTGGGAGAAAGTTCCATTCCTGCGTTTCTCTGAATGTTACTGAGCGCTGTGCTGAAGAAGTCTTTATTTTAGGCGGAATAAAACAACCTCTAACAGCACGCCTATCATTATGTGTAAGGGTGTGACACATGGACTTACAGATTTACTGAGCAGTAACTAACAACACACACCAACATCCATCCTGTGACACACACATTAATATATGTGAAGCATAATTTTAGAGCGGCTCTCAGGCAGATGGAGTGACTAATGGTTTCAGCTGAGGGGTGAACAGAAACATGGTGGAACTGGATCATCTCAGGTCATGGAGGGCGGAGGGAGAAACAAATTACAGAGAAGAAGAGGAAGAGACAATGTGAACACTCTGAAAGATGTAGAAGAGAGACGAGAAGACGATTTAGGAAAGAACTGAACAAAAGCAATTCATAAGAAGGCATCAGCAATGTTTATAAGAGGGAGAAAATTTATGGTCAAAAGAGAGGAGGGAGAAAAACAGCTGCGGGGGAAGGTAGACCTTAAAAAAAGAGGGGAAAAAAAGGGGGAAGTCCTCTGACAACTTGGACACAGTTCCAGTAACTTGGCAGCAGAAAGTCTCTGCAGTCCTGCTGTGTGAGTCTGTGCGGATAATTACACATGAGAGGAGTGTTGTGGTCGACAAGCTGGACAAGCTGCAGCAGATAGACTTTGATAGCAAATGTGCTGCTTAACTAAATCCAGAAAATCTGAAGAAGAAGAAGAAGAAGAAGAGGAAGAAGAGGAAGAAGAAGAAGAAGAAAAGGAATTTCATTGACCCCCATGGGGAAATTGTCTGTAGTCTTATGCGTCATTGTTTAAGTCATCGCCTATTTACAGGAGAGTTATAAAGTCTGATGGCTCTGAGTACAAAAAAATGTCCAACTCTTCCTGTGCAGCAAAGTAAGAGGAGCCGTCCACCACCATTGGTCCTTTGGTCCATCAAGGTGTTGTGAAGTGGGTGATCCATGTTCTTTAGAATAGTCTCCACCTTCCTCAGTGTAGATCTCTCCACCACATCCTCCACAGAGCCAGCCTTTTTCACCTGTTTGTTCAGACGTCTTCATCTTTGTGTTTGATACTTCCTCCCCAGCAGACTGCAGCGTAGAACAGAACACTGTAGATCTACACCACAGACTGATCAAACATCTGCAGCATCTAACTACAGACGTCTATGATCGGAGTCTTCTCAGGCTAAAGAGGCGGCTCTGCCCCTTTCTGTAGATGAAGTCTATATTCTTAGACCAGTCCAACTTATCATCCAGATGTTCACCTGGATATTTATATGATGTCACCACTTGGATGTCCACTCCACAGGTGTTCACTGGCTGAAGAGGAGGTTTGGATCTACAGAAGTCTATGATCATCTCCTTTGTCTTTGAGGAGTTGAGGAGGAGGCAGTTATTCTGACTCCAGTCACTGAAGGCTCTTATCAGATCTCTGTATTCAGCTTCTTGTCCATTTCTGATACAGGCCACAATAGCGGTGTCATCTGAGTATTTCTGGATGTGTCAGGACTCAGTGCTGTATCTGAAGTCTGATGTATACAGTGTGAACAGGAATGGTACCAACACTGTCCCTTGTGGAGCTCCTGTACTGCTCATTAATGTCCCAGAAACACAGTCCCCCAGCCTGACAAACTGTGACCTTCCTGTCAGGTAATCTGTGATCCAGGAAACACAGGAAGGATCCACTCCCACTCTGTGAGCTTGTCTTTGAGGATGGTGGGTTGGATGGTGTTGAATCCACTTGAAAAGTCGAAGAACATGATCCTCACATGAAGCCCAGGTTCCTCCAGATGAGACGGGGCACGGTGAAGCATGTAGAGGACAGCATCGTCCACTCACATGTGTTCTTTGTATGTAAACTGCAGGGAGTCCAGTTTGTCTTTGACCTCTGACCTCAGAAGGTGTAGAATCAGCCGCTCCAGGGTCTTCATGATGTGTGAAGTGAGGGTCACTGGTCTGCAGTCATTGAGTTCCAGACCCGCATGCAAGGCGGGGTCCATGGGAACATGGGAACAACTTTCATTTGCAAGACGACAACGCTAGAGCAAGGACAGGAGGACATTTGGTTTTTGGTTCTGGCACAGTAGAGGAGGTTTCCACAGAGCAGTTACCCGCCCCAGCTGTAGACTCAGGATGAAGATCTTGTGGAGAGGTCGACACAGTCCTGCAGCCTTGGACACACACCACCTGGACCAGCTGTCTTCCCAGGACAAAGTCTTCCAAACTCCATCCTCACCCCAGTTTCTGTGACAGACAAGGACTGGTGTTCGAGGAGGGAGGCAGATGAAGTGGTTGAGACATTTGAAGGAGATGGAGGAGGAAGGGGAGAAGTTGTAGTGGAGATTTGTTGCAGAGAGGAAGGTGGAGTAGCAGTGGAAGTGGGTGTGACAGCAGTGTCAAATCTGCTGAAGAACAGGTTGAGTTCATCCGCTCTTTTCACATCACCTCCACTGGCTGTCTTTTCTTTTGACTGCTGTGTCCAGAGATGGACCTGATTCTTCTCCACACTTCACGGATGTTGTTGTGTTGTAGATTCTTCTCTTTCTTCTTTTTGTACTCCAGCGTTGCCATCTTCAGTCTCCTCTTCAACTCTTGTTGCACTGGTTTGAGTCGTTCTTTGTCACCATCTTTAAAAGTTTTCTTTCTCTGGTTAAGGATTGCTTTTATGTCTCTTGTGATCCAGAGTTTGTTGTCAGGGAAACAGCGAACAGTTTTTGTGGGTATGACTGTGTCTCTAGAGAAGTTGACATAATCAGTAAAGCAGTCAACCTGTTTGTCAATGTTCATACTATCTACATCTGTTTCCAGTCTGTTGATTTAAAACAGTCCCTTAGAGCTTCACTGGCTTCAGGTGTCCATCTTCTGATTCTGACTTTGGTCACAGGCTGCCTCAGCACACGAGGTCTGTAACAGGTTTGCAGATAGACCAAGTTAGGATCGGACTTGCCCAGTGGTGGTACGGCAGTGGCTCTGTAGGCTTCTTTGACGTTAGCATACAGCAGACCCAGGGTCTTGTTTTCTCTGGTAGGACAGTTCACAGTCAGGTGAGAGGAGAGGGTGACATGGTTAAAGTCTCCTGATATTATTATTAGTGCCTCAGGCTGTTGAGTCTGTAGTCTGGCAACACTATTTTGCAAAACATCACACAGAATTTCTTCATTTGATTTGGGTGGGATGTAAACTACTTCTGTGACTGAATTCTCTTGGAACAAAGTAAAAATGTTGAAACAGTCCCAGTCTAATTTAATTTTGGACACCCCCCCCCCCCCCCCCCCCAGTCACCTGTTGTATATGTTCTCATGTCGGAGTAATCTGACGGTGTGTTCTGAGAGGTTAATGAAGAGCTGTGAAAGAGTGAGAGGCTGTCTGTCTCACTCCAACAGTCACTCCTCTGTTCTGATGGCACAGCTGAGTTTTTGGGGCTCGACATC